GGATAATACCAAACACCTTCACGCCTAGATGACAGTATCTTATTCTCTTCTTCAGTGCGACTCAATAGTAAAGGTGAATTCTAGTTATTGTTCTAGGAAGACACAGTTTCACTATTCGTTGTACTCCTCCCTTCCATACAATGGAAAGCAGAAATAATGTGAACTACGACATGCATCGCATTGTGATTTTCACCGGTGTCGTTTTATTTACTATTGTTGGACTTTACGGCAACATCTGCCTTATAGCTGTACATATACGAAAACCGAGCCTGAGATCGAAATACGGTGAGAATAATTGAGCTGCCGTTGCTACTATCATGAGAGAGAGATCCAACCAATACTGCAAGAAACACTCGTTTAGAGAAAAAAGCAAACATGTTCTTTTGTATTCCCTCGTTACTTATTCCGAAGCCTCAGGTGTGGGGCAGAAAAGTAGAAGAAGTCCACATTGATGCTTTGCAGAAGATTTGGTTAGAAAGAGTTGGCATTAGCTTCCTATCAACGTTTTGAGATCAGTGTTCACAAAATATATAGCCTAGTTCGCTGCGGACGAAGGGGCGTGTCAAGCGGGATGAGTTTAGTGCGGTGCCGAACCTGTTCTCCTCCGATTGTCGGAAGCGTGCAAGTGACAAGACTGCATCATATCGTCCGAACCACTGGTTTTCTACCAATTGTTGTCTCTTCAGCAACTGGCAGATAACGGGTTTGGCACTCTGCACTGTACTGCCTAACACGCCCCTTCATCCGCGGCGAAGTAGAAATAAGTACCGAGATGATATTCTCGTTTTAAGAGCAAGTTTTTGAGGATTGCTGCTTTCGCTGCTGTCATTTTGTCAGTCGTTATGCCTAGTTTTTGAGTGGGTCGGATTCATATATATCTTCACTGCGCATGAGGTGAGTTTCCTTGTTTGCTTCTGAGCATGTTATTTTCATGACAAAAACTAATCCATCAGAAAATTCGGCATAATCAGGAGGCTTATATAGTACTTGTACTGGAATTCCACCAAGGAACATAACATTCTGTCAGGGTACAGCATAGAATGGGAATGGTGAGATGGGTGTGCTCACTCTCTAATTCTTTCCGTTCTCCTATCCTGCGTTTGACCCCTCCCACACGCCCCTCGCCAGTCTTGATTACGAGGGGTGGGGAGGTTGGCGCGGCGCCAGCCTGTGCTCCATCGATTATGGTCAATGCCGGCAATTGGTGGAGAACAGGATGAGCCTTGCAAGTCCCTTGGAATGCCTCGCGCTTTCAGCGAACAGAAGTATCCATACAGTAGATTTTGCGGAGTGCCCTTACCCTGCCATCGATGAGGAGATACAGGTACCGCGCGTGAAAAGAGAAAAGGTAACAGTGGGCAAAAATTCTCCCGAGGTCGCATAGTACACTTTTCCCCGCAGTGACCAAGCGCAGCTCCCCTAGTGGGTAGTTTAGTGGCAGTGTAGTACTCTGCATTCAACCAATTGATAAAGAGGAGACTAATGTTTTTTCTCCAGTGCTCCTTGATAGGTCGGTCATCCTGGACGAAGTTCAGGCTCGGTAGGAGCACCGAGAGCAGAGTCCACTAGTGAAAGTGCGAATCTCCCACCCCCCCCCCAAAGCCAAACGGCCTCTCCTTTGTTATGATTACGATTTGCATGACTCTAAGCACAGAAGAAGGATATGCAGCTCGTTTGGTTTCCGTCTAAGGGCACGTGCGAAACGGAAACCAAACTACCTCCTTATGTTGACCCCGTGTAATAATAATTAATAACCAAACGTATGGTTAACCAAATGTTTTGTAGAATAAATTAAAATGCTACCATAACTTTACTGTAATATATCTAAGACACCCTTTTCAGGGATATGGAGGGGAGCCAGGGGAAATGACAGGTAGTCCGGGTTATTCTTGAAACTGGTACGATGGCAAGTTGCACCCTAGAGCTAGGAGGTGCTCGGTTGTTTGGCATCAGTCTTCTCTGGGAGATTGAAAAATTGAAGCATACATTAGCTTGCCCTGCAACTCATTGTATAGGTATATCGCAGTCAAAATGTTAATGCGTTTTTGAGTGGATGTATGAAGAATGTGTGTCGCATCCTAAGAAAGGCCTATCAACGGCAATAGCTTTTCTCAGAGAGTTTTAGGCATACTAGTGGTGTCTGAGCAGGATTCATGTATAGTGTAAGTCCACGGAGAAATCGTATGCAGTCGCCACGTTAATCACCTTTTTACTTAGGTTGTACGCTCTACATGTATCAAGCTCATTTTCGGCTACGTCTTCCTTCACTGTATGCAAACCGGCCTGATGGCTACGATAGCAGTCGACTTACTCATTTCAATCACATTCCCTCTATGGTGAGTTGGCAGTCTTATTCCGATTCAAAATAAAATCAAGATGTGATTTGGTGATAGAACCTGACCGGAGACTCAAGGTTCTATCTCAAAAGTATGAAAAAAAGAATGAGGCGCGGAAGAAGTTGAAAACTGAAGCCCACAATAGTTGTATCGACAGAGACACATGTGGAGACAATTAAGCATCATGCTTATATTTGATAACCTCCAGTTTGATGTTGCAAAGAGGATGGAAGAAGTAACAATCGATGTCTGTTCCCGCCCATGGGTCCCCCATAGTCAATGTGAACTCCACATTCAATACCTCCTCCACTCTGCTTTTACATAACGAGGTGTAATGCCAACGATCAACAGTTAGATTATGAATTTACTATACGAACCGGCCGACGAATTTTGGAGAGTGCTGAAAGCACCCAAACCCTTCAACAATTCCCAAGGCCGCAATAGGGCATGACAAAGGAGTTATTAAAGAATTGGCTGCTCCAGGTGGTCTAGCCAGCTTGCCTGGATCGCTGATTCAGCATTCGGAAGGGCGGTATCCATTACACGCTATGGAGTTCTGTCAAGAAATACAAAAACTGCATCACAATCACAGACTAAGCAAATGCAGCTCTGGAATTGACAATCAAGAGTGAACCGGCTCAACCTCATTGCACCGCTCGGCCCCATGTCGCATAACCTACCCCGAACAGTTAGGACATGTCAAACTTACTTACTCATGCAGTAATGCAAAAGCCAACATGTTTACAGCTGCAAGCTCCGATTTTGTCACCTCCAGATACCACAGAACTTCTATGCAAGCAAGGTACTTGCAAGAAATCCATGTTGCTGTTATCTGGACTAATGAAGTTTCTTGAAAGCCGGAATAGGTGATTCTGAAACTCGAGGTCGGAAATACAGGAATCTAACCTCGTCATCCGGGCAGTTGATTAGGGCGGTCGTCAACGGGCCGCAGCGCGTGCCAGGAACTATTTGCTTTTCCAGGCTAATTTAGTCATTTTTTCCACCTTGTGAAGATAAGGAGCTGCTAATCTGGGAAAAAGTAGCCAAAACAGTGAAAAGTTGGAAAAAATGACTAAATTAGCCTGGAAAAAGCAAATAGTTCCTGGCACGCGCTGCGGCCCGTTGACGACCGCCCTAATCAACTGCCCGGATGACGAGGGTATCTTCCGGATCTAGATGATTCTATTAGGAATAGTATGAACTGAGAAGTTTTTCAAGACTTCTGAATTGCTTGAGTTGGACCAGTCTTCTGGCATTCCTCCCACAGCTGGTAAGCAGTGATCGTTAATATATCTTTAGGAACTTTCAGGCATCGTGTGACCAGGAACAATATTTATGTATCTCTTATTTCAATTCCGTCTGCTCTCTATGGGTTATTATCAGTGATTCTCGGATTTCTAATGACTAATGATGATCACGTCAATCTGTGCAATCCACCATCAAGCTTGTACGGAAAAGCGAAAAGTTTTTGGTATATTGTGGCCTTCATAGCCGGAGGTATAACAATATTCAGCTATCTTCTCTCTTACCTTATTCTTCTATATTACAGTGAGTTAATGTGAGCTCGCTCAATCCTTTTTGCCCTCCTACAAGGGCTCGCTTCGGTTATGCAATTTATATAATAATACCAGGTAAACGGCACATCAATCAGCCACAAGATTTTGCCCGACGCACGATGAGAAGCATGAGTATAATCGTAGTGATATTCCTCTGCACAAGATTCCTCGCTACAGTTGGAGCGAACATTCTAAATATGGGAAATGTCGACCCGCATACTGTGGAATTGTTCCAGAATTACTGCGTAAGTTTTCGCGACACCTTACGCAGTGGTCTGCCGTTAAAGCATCGAAACTTTTTTCACATTTTGCACCAGGAGGGCACTGAAGCTTTATTTTATTAGCCTGATGAGGTGCAAACTCCCTGCAGGAGTTGCGACTTAGGGGGACCAAGGTACGGGGCCAAGGCAGAAACTAGCTCGTGGTAGAGCCTGGCTGATCGAATGCTGGTCGCCACATCTTGTTGTCGTCTGTTGATTCCTCAGTTTGAATGTCACTGCTCGACCATACCTGCATTCGAACCTCCTGCTCTCGGATCCAGGGCACGCCATCTTTGTGATCATCACAACAGGGGGGTCGTATTTGCCCGCGATGGAGGGGGGGGGTCGTAAACGCATGGCCCATGTTGAAGTGGAGAGAGCGGTGATACACGGTACAAGTGAAAAGAAGCTCAAAAGGGACGATGTAGATGACAATAAATAGAACTAGGCACTATCGAACTATTCCTAGGCCAAGAACTAAAAAAAATATTGCTGAAACTTTTTCCTCCTTCCTCACAAAAAAACTTCAAGACACTTCGCCCACCAACCCTCCTCATCTGGTCTAGATAAATCCCAATCCACTAATCCGCAAAATCTAGAAAAGAATCCATTGCAAAAGCTACCTATTGAACCGTAGA